GATCCTCAACACCACTGACTGAAATGCAGTCACAAACCATGACAGAGCCTCCACCATGTTTTACAGATGGCTGTACACTCACTGTTGACCTCCCCTGACCTCCTTCCTGCATACCAAAAACAATCTGAACCAATAATTTCAAATTTGTATTCAACCTATAAGACCTGTTACCACCAGTGTTGGGACTAACGCGTTATTAAGTAACGCGTTACAGTAACTACGTTATTATTGTGGTAACGAGCACGGTAACTAGTTATTATGCCAAAACCGGGAACGCGTTACTCGTTACTGGGATTTAGATAGGCTCGTTATTCGTTACTTCGTGTGGTGGCTATCGCGGAGCTTCCACAGATTCAATAACATTAGCAAGTGGTGGAGGCCAGCAGGTGGATGAAGGAAAAGGGAGGCAGAGGAGAGACCCGAAGCGGCCGCTGGTCCGAGAGTGTCAGTTGAACTGAACTTCAGGTAAGAAGTTATGACCTGCAGTCTCTCTGGGTCAGATATGAACCAAGTTTAGGTGGAGTTTATTTTCGTTATGCTGACTTTTTCGTACTGCGTGCTAGCTAGCATGACGGAGTTTCTATACAGCTGGGTGGTGCTATGTTACTGATGTTGAACTTTATTTTGTTCATACGGTTAATTATTAGAGTTGCCAGCCGTCCTGTAAAAAACGGAATCGTCTCGTATTCAGAGAAAATATTACGCGTTTCGTATTTAGGTGAAAAGGAACAGTTTGTCCCGGACTTCAGCTACAATGAAAAAGACACAAAGCTGGAGTTATTCTGTGTCTTTGCTGCACAGCTGCCTCTTCTCTCTCATCCTCTCCCCCTCCCTCTCCTGTTTCTACTTCAATCATGAAACTGATCAATGATCAGCTGATCGGCTTTTCTCTCTTGTTTGTTTATCGCCCACTTTGCGCCAGAAAGAGGAAACCAGCGGATGTCGCGCTAAACAACAGCAGCACGTTTAAGCTTGATCAGCTGTTGTTAGAATTTATTTAATATTAATTTCTAGTATCAGCTGATGTTTGCTGGAGCCACAGCTGTAAAGCTGCTGGTCATGATATGGTTTGGTTATTGGTGAGAGGGAAACATGAAGATGAAACCAGGAGATGTCCTTACTGAATCATCAGAGCTGAACAGGTGATGGAGAAACAGGTTTACCTTTTAGGTGACATGAATGAGTTGAAGGGAAGTTATGAACTGTTTCTGAGAGACAAATAACACCAGGATCCTTTTTAGGTAGCTGACAGCTGGTAACTGTGCAGGGGCGGGTCTAGCAAAGTGTTGCCAGGGGTCCATGGTAGGGCATTAAAGGGAAAGGGGGGCACAAGAAATACTTTCTTATTCTCATTTAAAATGTCTCACTTTTAAAAAATAATTATCTGAGTCTTACAACAAACGATTGATAGATTGATGCATATATACCATCAGAACAGTGTACATCACTGTCACAACAGTGTTTATTTTCATTCAAAGGCTTTATGATTTTTCCTATAATGGTGGGCCGGTCTCTAGTCAAAATGCCCGGGAGATTTTTTTGTCCCAGTCCAGCCCTGTATGCAGCTCATCTGCAGTCTGGTGTTACCTACATCTTCCTATTCAGAAGGCAGAATTTCCGAGTTCTGAGTACAATCGAAAGCACCACGACTGCAGTTTTTGTGTTGGATGTAAAAAGCAGGCTAGGATAGAATCAGGCGTGGGATTTCTCTCGTGGAAATGTGCACATTATTTTTTCCTTTCTATTGGTAGGTGGCACAGTGCACTTGTGGCAAGTAAGCAAGCTAGAAGACTGGCAGTCTTGCTGGGTATCCAGTTACGGAAGCAACACATTAACAAGAGAATTCTGAGTAAACCAAAGTTACTTTCCCTAGTAACTAGTTACTCTGAAAGTAACGAGTAACTTGAAGTAACTGAGTTACTTTTGATAGAAGTAACTAGTAATGTAACTAAGTTACTAATTTAAAGTAACTTACCCAACACTGGTTACCACTGACTTTCACTCTAATTATTTTTTAATTTGATATACTTCAGCCTTTTCTCCCTGTTTCCCTTCTTCAAGAATGGCTTCTTAAAAGCCACAGGTGCTCTGAGACCATTTCTGATGAGGCTTTGGTGAACAGTAGATGGCTCAATTAAAAGGCTAGATGCATGTCTCAAGTCCTGTGTTAGATTCTTTGATGGATTTTTCCAGTTTCTTCATGAAATAAATTTAATGTACTGTTCATTTGCTCTTTGGCAATCTCCTTGTTTGTGCAATAATAATCTTTTACACATGTCAAACTGTGTTATTATTTCTAAAATCAAAGAAACAAAAAGAAACTGAAACAAATTGTGTTTTTGCAGTAACAAAGGACGTAAAGATATAATTAAAAATTGGCTCATGCGAACCCAGCCCAATTTTTACTCTTTAAGTGTGCGCGTGTGTGTGTGTGTGGGGGGGGGGGGATATGTGTGTATTCACATCATTTATGTTAATGAGAGTGTGGGGAGTGAGTTGGAGGGTGGGGTGGGCTGCTTTTAACTATGTAAAGCACTTTGTGCTACATTTTTTGTATGAAAAGTGCTTTATAAATAAAGACTGATTGATTGATTGATTGATTGATTGATTGATTGATTGATTGATTGATTGATTGATTGATTGATTGATTGATTGATTGATTGATTGATTGATTGATTGATTGATTGATTGATTGATTGATTGATAAGTTTCCATTATGTGTAGACACAACACTAGTTCCCTTGTTTGGTTAGGCCTTTTTTATGTAATGTTTGAATCATTCAAAGATCAGTGTTAAGTGGCTTAACACACAAAAAAAACATTCCTCTATAAATGAACAGGTATAAGAACTGGACTGAGAGAAAAATAGCCAATGTAAAACAAAAAAAAAAACAAAAACAGAAAAAAACAAATTGCTGAAAGACCTTCAGAAATCTTGGAAAACAACTGATCAAGACCATTTTTTAAAAAGTACAAGAGTTTCAGGTTGCTTGGAAGCAAAATATAAAGAAATAAGGGCAGACTTGCACAGTACTGTCCATTCATGTACTTCCTCATTCTTAGGAAAATGCAAGCCCCAAGGCAAGGTGGCGTCTAAAATTAGTTAGCAACAATGTGACACTACTGTGTTGAGTAAACTGTCAGACATTAAAAAAAAAACCAAAAAAAAAACACTTGCGCTTTTGCTAGCATTCACTCCAGTAATTATCTCCACGATTAATCTCCTAAGACCTGAACTCTTCCATGGCATGCATTTTTAATTTCTCTTTGATATTTGGGCATGTTGGGACCTGATGAATTTGGGTTTTTTTTACCTGTTTTTTGTTTCTGAGAAAAATTTGATCCACATATGAGGACATATGTTTAAAATTTCGATAGAACAGTGGCAGCATGATGTCCTTGTAAGTGGATATCCCTCCCTTGTAGAGCAGAATTTTTTATTTTGGTCTAGACATCCCAAAATGTGATGTCCACATATGTGGAAGCCAGGTCCTAGGATGTTAAGATTTGTCATGAATGCATACACACATACACAGAATCCCAAGGTGAAAAGACCATTAAGCACAGTTGTAATACCCAGTATTATATATGTTATTATTACCCTGAATGATGATCATACCTTGAGTGACATATTCCTGAAACCAGTCCCGAGATGTCTGGGCATGTCCGTGCACCCTGTTGTGTAGTAAATTGTTATTAGATTAAAAACACCCTCATATTACCACTCATCTATCCATAACAATCACAGATTAATGATTTATCTAAGACATAAAATTCATGCAAAATAAAGTTTTAGAGGTGTACATAGTCATTTCTTCTTTATGATCTTTTTGGTCTGTGGATAATCCGCTTCTAATGACTGCATTTGGGCTAGCGGTGCCTAGAACTGGGAGTTGTCAGTTATTCTAAGGGAAAGGAAGGCGTATAATATTCTAGTGCATGATACATTACATTGGAAAAAAAAATCCAAGGTGATGGATAATTCAGTAAATCTTTTAAATCATTTCTCAAAAGAAGCCATTTATTCTCAAACCTCATACACAAGAAAGTAACTTAGACATTATTCATTTCTTCCTATAACAGTTTCAGAAGAATTATGCAGGTGAGTTTTTAGTATCCTGATTCATGCACAAAATAAATCAAACCTCTGCACTGGCATGAAGATCATGAACTATGAGTCTGATGACATATTTGCTAAGGTGAATCAGATCCACCATTTTTAACTGCTGTCACAGATAAGCACCTTCGTGGCACTTAGAACTAAGAGATAATATACAGGAGTACACGTTAGATCAAGATCCATCACTAACAGGTGACTTTTGGATCAAAACAACATATTAGTCAATGTGGTGAAATGAGAAGTTGAAAAGCCACAAGACATAGCTCATTCACATTAAAGACTCAGTATGCAACAAGGTCATCTAGCTTACTAACATGCAGAGTACAGATATCTACATTCTGTGTTCAGGGTTACGTGGGATTCTCCACGATTTGTTTTTAGAACTGAACAAACCTCTTGGATGAGAAGTGAAACATCTTCACAAATGTAAAGGAGTCCTGGTGCCTTTTTTCAGCCTCAATATACTTTCAAGGAAGAGAGTGATACAACAGAGCTGTGGTTGTACTGTAAAGTTATAAAGGAACCAACGTTTGTTATGGTTTTAGTCAACTTTCCAAACATAATTGAGTTAATGTGCCATTATCAGAATGGGAAGTTGCATTTTACATATGCAGCTAGCAACACTGAAAACCTGCATTGAAAAAACTCTCTATGAACACTATTTATATTACACATACTTCACCACTGGAGAAATTGTTCCTATAAATTTGCTGCAAACATAAAGTTATTTAGGTTAATGAATTTTTACCCATTATAATTGAATTCTGTCACTTCAGCGTTATTATGTTGTCAGTCTACTGGATCCCTGAAGACTACAAAAATCAATGGCTGATGTTCCATGCAGTATTTATTGGATAACTGTTGATGGTGTCTTTTTAAGGCTGGCGTGCAGAGACATGGATGTCTTCATGGACAAGGATTTCAGTATGACTGGCAACACAAGTCATGAAACATCACGAGCAAGAATAGAAGGAAACAAAGACCAAGGACTCAACCACAGCGACCCCTTGGACATGTTCATAGGCATAGAGCTCCTTCAGCGATACAAGCCTCTCTTCCTGCCTCTGTACTGCCTTGTAGTGGTAGTAGCTGTTGTTGGAAACTCCTTCCTTTTGGCTTGCATCCTGGCTGACAAGAAACTCCACAATGCCACCAACTTTTTCATCGGTAACTTAGCAGCAGGTGACCTGTTGATGTGTTTGACTTGTGTTCCGCTGACAGTGTCTTACGCCTTCGACAGCCATGGCTGGGCTTTTGGAAGACCTTTCTGCCATTTGGTTCCCTTGCTGCAGTGTGCCACAGTCTTTGCATCAGTGCTTTCACTTACTGCTATTGCTGTGGACCGCTATATTGTTGTAGGTAAGGGACTTGACATTACCATTACTGATTAGCAGTAATTTACTGTACGTTCAAAAGTTAACCTTACTATATTTCAAAATGTGTTTTCTGTAATGCGAAATGCATATTGACCACACACAGATTTAGTCTCCTGATACTGAGATGACCAAGCTAAAATAATTAGAGATTTCTCTAATTTTTACACACTTCTATACATGGCCACTTAAATTTCGGTATGAAATAACATCCTTATTGTTTTTACCTAACATATACTATATCTGTATTTTTTCCTTGTCTCAGCTCATCCAGTACGGAGGAGGATTTCTGTGTGGGGTTGCGGTGCAGTGACTTTGGGTGTCTGGCTTTTATCTTTGGCCCTGGCCGCACCTCCATCGTACTACACAGACTACCTGGACCTGCGGCCCACGGGCATTGACCTGGTAGTGTGTGAAGAATTCTGGCCAAATAGTGGCAATCTGCGGCTTCTCTACTCTTGCTTCATTTTAATAACCTCGTATATGATCCCACTGCTGTCAGTTAGCGTATCCTACTGTGCCATTACTATCAGTTTGAAGCGTTATTCAGTGCCTGGGGAGCCATCAAACAGTCAGCAGCGCTGGAGCCAAAGGAGGAAGAAGACGTTCTCTCTGCTGGTGGCCTCAGTGCTGGCCTTTGCCCTGTGTTGGCTGCCTCTCCAGGTGATTCAAGACATTGATGAATTCTAACCATTACTCCATTAATCCTTATCTATAGGCATTAGACAAAGAAAGTAACATTTTTCTATATGTATCTGTTCGAAACTCATAACCTCAATAGCAGCAAAATGATGCAAAACTGCAGGTTTAACTACTATTAGGATGATTCAATTTTATGCATCATTAACTATGGAAACCCAACATCAGATATTTGTGTCCACAAAGCCAATATTATGTCCACAATGAGCCATGTAAAATGCTAACAGATTAGGATTTCATTGTCACATTATTGAACTGGAAGGAAAAGTTGACACTGCAATATGGCTGCAAACACTCAGAGCCTTGTTTCACTAAAAGCACTTTGCGTGCACTGCTTAAATGCAGATCGTAAGTGTTGGTAGAGTCGCATTTCTAAAGTCAATGTTGCATGCAAATTGATAAATTCGTGGCTTCTGCAAGGCTCCTTCATGACTTAGGAGAAGGGTATTTGTCATGGCTAGTGAAACGTGTCCAAATGAGTCAAAAGTGAAATGATCTGGTTTTATACATTGCAGTTGGCATGTTGCAAATCCTGCTGCTAAACACCGAAACTTAACTTGTGACGTGGAATGATTTAGTATTAGCGTTCAACCAAATCTAATTATGCTGGCAAATTTCACATTTCTGAAATCCATTACCACAGTTCAAGCTGCCTTCTAATTTATGATTTTCTAGGCAGAAAGAGAGGAGCAGCTTGGTCAGACTTTTCAAAAATGTTCCTAATAGTTTAAGAAGTCAGTGCTGATTCGATGCAATAACAACTTTTTCCATTGTGTTTTGTAGGTGCTGAACCTGTTGCTGGACTTGGACCCGGACTTCCATATTATGGGCAAGCGCTACATAAATGTCTTACAAGTATGTTGCCACTTAGTGGCTATGAGTTCTGCATGTTACAACCCTTTCATTTATGCCTCACTGCACAGCAAGGTGCGAATGCACCTCAAAGGTTATCTCTGTCCTTGCCATAACCACCAGAGAAGGATGGTGGAGAGATCCAGTTGAACCCACAATGCGACTGTAGCAGCTCTTGATATGCAGAGCCCATTCTTATCCGCAAGCTAGCACCTGCACCCCAGCATGAGCGTTAATGTCTGAGACATCCAGGAGAATACAATGAGGCTGTTCAAAATTTATTTAAACCATTTTCTTCATGCTTTACCAGCATGTTGTGACGTCATGGCATTTAGTCCTTTCTTGTAGCATCTCCAAAGGTAGTAGCTAAAAAAAAACAACTAAAAAAAACACTGCTTACAAAGAAATCCAATGATGGTAAAGAAAAAGAAGACCAGTGAAGAGTCCACTGGGATCCCTGTGTTGTGCTTAGATGGCAGTGCTGCAGAGGCTAAGCAGACGCTGCAGCTTTGAAAAGGCCAGCGGGGGTATAAACAGTATTCAGCTGTAGCAGACTTATGCTTGAGGCTGAGATCATGGGTGTTAACTCTGGTTACATGGACCGGTTTGCTTAAACATTAAACACTTGACTTCAGGGAGCTGACCGTACAGTGAACTCCTCAAACCAGACGTGGATCAGGAAAATACTAATGATGGTTTTATGTTGTCCACAGAACTGAATGTCATTCAATTATTTACATATATTATTGGATAACAAATTGCTGGCTATTTTTAGGTTTATTAAACGTAATTAGGTGGTACAGTCTAAGTGTGTTGTATGTGTAAATAAATATATATTTGTGTTTTTGCATACATGCTGTATGCATTCTCTTCATTTTCTGCAGGTCAAAACCACAGTATATGCAATAATGATAAAAATGCATCTTACTGTATATGACACCTTGCAGCAGTATTGGAAATCGTCTTCAATTACATCTTATCAATACCAAATTAATAAAGGATTTACTTGAGTGAGAGCTCATAGTTAAATGTTAAGTGCTCTGGCTCTAACTGACAAAAGAGACTGGCACAATAATTAATTATTAGATAATTAAAGCACAGACAAAAACAATAACTGTAAAGCATTACTCTGCTGATGCCGTTCTCATTGACTTGCCATCAAGTATGATTAATGCTTTCATAGGCTGGGTATGAAGACTCACCAGAGGACATGCTAATGTGCTCTAAATTGCAAGCAAGCAGAATTAATTTGTTTCATTCGGTTAATTAGAAAGCTAAAATTTTCATTGATGCTAATTTCTGTCTATGTAGATCTGTCTAGAGCTCTCTATTTGGACAGATAAATGAATGAATAGATAGATAGATAGATAGATAGATAGATAGATAGATAGATAGATAGATAGATAGATAGATAGATAGATAGATTGATGGATGGATGGATAGATAGATAGATAGATAGATAGATAGATAGATAGATAGATAGATAGATAGATAGATAGATAGATAGATAGATAGATAGAGTGCATCAAATGCAATAATGCAGGGTAAAATGTCCATCAACAAATCTAATCAGCCCATTCAAAAATAGCAAACACCATTTGCTCAAACATATCCAGTGAACCTTTAGTGCAAACTAATGAGCCACCGCTCCCCAGCTAATGCTCGCTGATGCCAACTGTCACCTTTTAACAATCAAATTACTTTGCTGTCTGTTGCTTGGCAGCTTGGTTGGCTTTTCTCTCTAAGTAAACCTTGAGACTGCATTCACCCCTACTCAATTGGATTTTTGTCCTGATGCTTTTTTCTGAAAGGGTTTAAAATAGTTATTGTTGTTAAAAGTGATTTTGTTTGTTTGTTTGCTTGTTTGTATTTTTTTAACTGAATTTCATCTCTTTCCGCCAAATGCCCTATTGCTACACATAATAGACACTTGCAGATCCCACCCCCACTCTGTGTGTTGATGGCAGCAATGTTCCTTACCTGAATGTATTTATGTCATTGTCAATGTAAACTTTGGTTATATAGATGATAAGACAGTACTTCATCAGATGTGGACATGGGTTTCCCCACTAAAAATCTATTATTTTAATGAGTGTTCCACAACAAAAGAATATTAAAAAATATACCCTTGCCAACCATAAAGATACCTTCATGTCGTACCAGTGTGAAAGTGTGAATAGTATGAGTCATTTCAAGTATTCTCTTGTAAACTGTAAATTATGCTGGTAAGCTATGAGTGTGCAAAAGCTGCTAACATTTCCACTTTATTTATCTGTGACTAAGTCAATGAAGAAAAAAAGACACTGAACTGTGGCTTTATATGTTCATTTCATTTACTGAACAACCATGCATGTGCAAGCAGAGTAATGGGTGGAAAACCAGGTCTTATGTATTTAAGCCAATTTCAAAAATTCCATGTTTTGGTTGTTGTGTTTTGCTATTGTTGAATTTTTAAAAAATGACAATTTCTGTGCCATTTCTCACAACTATGTACTTCAACATGTTGTACATTATAAAATAACAGCCTGAAATGCGGTGAAGTGAACTAAGGCTCATTGGATGATGTTTGTTTGTTCATAGAATCAATACATTAGAACTGACAGTAATATTAATTTGTGTTTAAGAAGACACACACACACACACACACACACACATTTGACCATAGTTTTCAGACCCTAAGGCGCACCGAGTTAGAAGGCGCATTAAGCGAAACAAAACAGTCAGATAAGTCAAACTTTACTCAACTTATTCTTCTTGTTTCCTCCTCTTCCGTACCATTAATTCATTAATCTTGAATTCTCTCGCAGCTGCTCTATTCCTATGTTGTTGCAGTATATTAATGACTAACCTCGTATTGTGGATGGATTATCTCAGTTGTTCTCCTGACTGACGTTTGGTCCGTTTACAGCATCCTGCCATGAGATTGCATTTTTCCATAACCATCGGGAACCCTCACGTTAACTTTTATCGAGTGGAAAAAAGTTAGCGTTCATCTTCCAGTTTCACTGTTTATGTTATGCTAACATAGCTGTGTCGCTATTGATCACGTAGCACATCATTATATACCAGTTAACCCAACTTCAGTAACCCTAAAAAAAGTCACTGCTGTTTAGTTTTCTGTATTCATTTATGTTGGAAGTGATAGTAGAGCTGTACGTTTTAATTTTTCAGAAATCTCTCAGTCAGAACAAGGCATATCATGTTTAGGTGGAAACTAGCGAGCTAACTTCCTGCTAACTTCTAACTCCGTTAAATTAAAAAAATTCTGTTTTCATGAAGGCCTGGATGTTAAACGTAATTGTTACACCTGGTAAAGCAGCTACACTAATCATTTTATTAAAGATGAAAGAATTTAGACAGTTTGTAACTCTCAGTGATGCCGCAGTGTTCGTTTGACTTTGGGACCGGAAAAGGAAGCAGTGCGGCTTCATAGCGTACCAAAGTTGTACTAAAACATTTTTTGACAGATTTTTGAGCCCGTGTACCACATAAAATCGGTTCGAGGTCAATAAGCACAACCAGAATTCATACATAAGGTGTACCAGTTTATAAGACACAGTATCAATTTTTGAGAAAATTAAAGGATTTTAAGAGCGCCTTACAGTGCGGAAAATATGGTAAAAGTGTGTATTTTTAGTAAGTATAGTTAGTCATTAAAAAATTTGCATTTTTTGTATGACTATTTTTATACTTACTGCAAAAGACTCCTGTGAAAAACTAAGTATATCCCATGATTCAATATCTTGCAGAACCTCATTTGCAGCAACTTGAAGTGAAGTTTAATAAATGTCTTACATTTGCATGTGCTTTCTCCTGTCCCTTTTTCACATGATCGTACACGCTTGGTGTTTTCTTAGGTACACATACAACAAGCTCATGGGCACCAGTCCTAGACCTCTGCCATGTACTCTACCTTTACACAAATTTCTACTTTTTGTCTTTTCATCCACTGACACTGCTACTAGAGTGTTCTTTTGTGAATACTTTTGCTAATTGACATCACGTATTGTTTTCTTTCGTAAGTTCTCTGTATGTGACCAAGTTGTTTTTCTGTGTCTCAGTGAACAAAGCTTTGTGTATTGATCTTCGGTTGGTGTGGTCATTTTTGTTGTGCGTCACTGTGGTTGGACATAATTAATCCAGTTTCTGCAAAACATTTTAGCATGCCGTGTAGTGACACTTGGGAAACTTTCAGTCTAGCCATGATGTGATTTAGAGAAAGTCCCTTTTCCTTCAGAATGACAATTGGACACTTGAGACTTTCACTGAGTTCTAATGTTTCTCCATTACCGCACTGCCACTTAGACTTTTCTGTTGTTTCCTCTTTTACTTATACATCTCTTACGCCATGTATCCACAGTTGTTGACTTGCTGATTTGGGCTATTTTTCTCATCACTGTCTCGTAACATCCGTGTCACATTAGTCAATCAGTAGATTAGACAAACAGATAAATTGTAGTTAAATAATTCAGAGTTCCTCTTTTCGGTCTTTCTGTTTCATGAGGCATAGGTAATTCTAAGCTCAATGCACATCCTAATTGGCTACAACATAGTGCACATAGTGTTAGTGCACTAAAAACCGTTACTGGGCTTTGCTAAATTATACAGCTACAGTTAACTTATACATCACCGCTGCTCTGTTGCGTTGCTCTGCTGCACTGTTTAGACTGGACAAAAGCCAGAGAGCATGCGTTTAAGATTATTAAACATGGATTTTGCCCTTCTGTCATCCTCAAATCTTCCTAAGCAATTACGCAACATGGTCGATGCTTGAATGTGTGGGTTGGGGTAGTGCTACCCCAGTGTTTTAATGCTGACAACAAGATTAATCTGTTAGCCTTTATTTGCAGAAAACTGGCACCCACAGAGAGTAACTGTGACTTTAGGAAATGGAAGCTGTTAGCTATCGTGCTGGCTTTGGAAGATTGAAAGCACTGGAGGGTGCAAGGCAACCTTTTTTGGTCTGAGGAGTCTGGAATATATCTACTGTGTCAAGAGACCCAGCTCCCAGGCAGCCAAGTGGACATTATTTATGTGACTGTATTAAGCCAGAGAAACTCTCTTGTGCACACTCACATGTGACTAACCCTACAACTGCCTCCTGGTGTCAAAGAAGAATTCTTTCCACCTCTCACTTTTCGCAGCACGACTTTCATCTTCCTCATCTATGTAGTCATCTGTTATGTTTTGTTTTTGTAAATCATTTACCGTAGGCAGCAGTCACACAGGGTAAAGAGAAGTTGTAGGGTAATTCTGATTCTAACTGTGTAGTCCCCAACCAGCTGGTCACCTTGTTAAACTGGTTGCCAAGAAGGAAGTGCAGTAAATCTTTCTTGTGATTGCTTTTGTTGTTAGCAGCACATAGTTTGCATGGAAGAGGCCAACTTATCTGCAAGCTCTTGCCAGCTTCTCTCTGAACATTAGTGAAACTGAAACGTGTGGTTTAAACTGTAAAACGAGGTTGCTCGCCTAAACATTTAAAAAAAGAAAAATGCTATTGTTTCACTACTGCTCAGTGAGAAGTTCACGTATCTTCCATGTAATTACAGGGATTTTATGGCAATCCACTAGAAACCAAACAATTTCAAGGACTTTTTTGTTGCAGTATCCTGTACTTCTTTGCGATTAATTTTATCTAGTGACAACCATTAGCAACCATTTGTCAGGAAATTCACATTTTTCCATTGCGACTGTAGTAACACACCGTTTCTAGGCCTGTGTGACTGGGAACATATGTATGTATGTAGGATCTTTTAACTGCTTTTATTCTGTTAATTGTGTCTTATTAACCAGTGTCACTCTGCTGTGTATACAATGTGTGACCAAAAAGTTCTTCGAATGAGCCCTTAAAGATCATCTTCAGTGGTATGCCCAGACAGCTTCTGGCAGGGCTGTGTTTTCAGATTCTTCCACTCAACTTCCAAACTTTTCCTTGTTCCTTGTGTATAAAATGATGCCGGTGTTGTACACTGTTATGTATAACTAGCCTTTGTGGGCATTTTTGCCTCTTCTCTTGTGTAAATTGCTCCTCTGACTAATACTCATGTAAGATGTTTTTGCTTCCATGTAAAAGTTTGGATGCTTGGCTTTTATCTGATTTCCTGTATGATCTCTGGCTGTGCTTCAATTTTTCAGACCCTTGTTGTTACAGTTAAGATATGGACAATGGCTTCACACAAATATACATGAACAAGTCTCTGATGAGACAAACCCTCCTAAGTGTCATTCAATTTAATATGCTTCAGTGGATGTGATGCAGCACAAGTAAATCGCAAACTCTTTATTGTACAATTAATAACTTTGCTGTCTTCCTTTTCTAAAATATTTCAATTATGTTCTTTTTTCTTTAAGGTCCACTCTTTAATAAGCAGAAATAGTTTTTAAAAAATCAAACAAAAACACAAAGACAGTACACTGTAAAAAAAAAAAAAAAAAAGAGTTTCATTATGAGAGCTTCTTTCTTGTGAAATACAAAACATAACTAGCAGGACGTCTGCTGCGTTTCAGTAGAAATATTAATTATTAATCAGCTCATTAGGGTAAAAGGAAATTAAAAACTTCATTCTATTGAGTGCTCCGTTATATATGTCCAAAGACTCCAAATGCTTAAAATAAGACCTAAGTATAGCTTGTTGGTATAGTCCATTAAGACCAAGCCTGCATTACAATGCTATGAGTCATAACAGCTAATCAATGGAGTCGCATTGATTTTCCTATGAGTCTGGCTACAACCTGAGTTAGCTCATTAAAAGCTGAGTCTGGAGAAAATGGATCTTTAAGATGTTGGAGCTAATGCCACAAGGTGATTGACTGCAACATTAATTTCTTTAAACCTGATTCATTTACTAACGCTTCTTCAAAATGCTGCAAGCTTTAAAACTGTGGTGAAAAGAACATGGGTTTTTCTTTCTTTTCCATCTGAAAAGCAGTTAATGGGGCAGCTTCAGCATCACCAGTTGTGACTTCCATTCAAAAATAGATACATGCTTTCTTTTTTTGCCAACAGAGCTTTTCAAGCATCTAAACATGATGTATCTGAGGGTTTAAAAATAAAGTAAGGTTTAGAAACCAGAACATTTCTGTACTTCAGAGGAAAAAAGCCTGGCTTTATCTTTATCCTTTTATTTTTAAAAAACAAAACACTTTGCTAGACCCAAAGCAGCAATATCTAAATGAGTCATTCTGTATTCATTTATTATTCTCTGACATTATTGTGGAAGAATTTTGGTGAACTCTTCTCTATAAAATTGACTAAGTTGATTGAGGTTTGCGGCCATTCTTTTATGCACAGCTATTTGTGTTCCTGTCGCAGCATTTCAGTTGACTTGAGGTCTGGACATTGGGCTATTGTAACACTTGTGTCCTTCCCCTTTTTGGCCAATTTGTCATAGGTTAACTGAGACCTGTAGAGTCTGAAATGTTGCTCTTGGGGTTTTTGTAGTTTCTATGAGCATAGCTCCATGGTAGGGTGAATTTGATGGGAAGATCATGGCATCATATGAACAGATACCAGAATTCTCCAGAGTAGCAAACCTCCAAAATTGCTTCTTATGGAAGGATATACATGATTGTACAATTCAGGAAATCAGCAGTATAGACCTTTAAACAAAACTGGTTTTATTCAGGGTTTATACTATGCAGTCAATGTTCATCTTAGATTGTAATGATGTTTACTAAAAAAAAGCTCTGCTGACGCATGAGGAAGCTGCTGTATAAATTATGAACCAAGTAACAGACATAATGTTGATTCAAACGCTTCCTCTTTCAGTCTTTTTGCTGTCTTTCTTTCACTTTATTATTCTTTTTCTCCATTTCTGTCTCACACCCCTGACACACACTTATATACATCCATCATTATTGCCTTCCTTTTCAACTTGACACTTGTGAAACACACAGCTATGTTGCATTTATAATTATCTATATGTTTAATGGCGAAGACTAAGAGACTGGGTGTATGGGTTAATTGTTGCATACTGTCTGCGTGAAAAAAACTCTGAGCACCTGGACATAATACTGATTTATTTCTTGTTAAATATGTCAGACACTGGGCACACAAAGTTATGCTAACAAAGGCTTTGTATGGCATGCATTGGAGGTAATGCATATTTAAATATATCAGGGTTGCTCAGTCACGCTATGATTGCATAGATTGGACAAAAAAAAATACAATGGCTCTTCAGTTGCGGCAACAGTGTCTAACAACAAAACCAGAAGTGGCTTACACTGAAGAACTCGTGGGAGAGCAGAACCCGAGACTAATATCACATTAACCAGGACTGAGATGCATACATTATTCAGCTTCCTCCTTACACTGTGCTCGATATAACATACAAATGTGTATGTATAAAAGATTGCCTTTTATACATACACAAAATAACATACACAAGTGGGATGGAAATAATCCCGTTACTTAACTCATGAGAGGAAGACTTTACTTGAAAAAGCTGCCATGCAAAATCCTATAATATGTCAATACACACTCACACACATACAATTGTACACATGTCTATCACATATAGCTTATTGTTCATATTAAATGAGTAGTGGCAGTAGTGGCAGCTTTTCCTCCTTTGTAAGCAGTTAGTGCACAGTCTTCTTGTTCTGTCCGTCTGCGGCATCTCCAGGTTAGTTTCATCTGCTCCCAGACTCCATTACTCACCAACACATACAGCACTGGGTCCACCACAGCATTCAAACTGGACAGTGCAAGCGTACAGGAGAAGAAGAAGTGCATTTGTTCTTCAAACTTGCAGTAACTCCCATTGTGACTCTTATCAAAATTGTTATTATAAAATACTAGTGAGCGTATGAGCAAAAGAATATGATATGGAGCAAAGCAAACTGAGAAGATCCCAATTACTCCAAAGGAGAGAAGACGGACCTTCCTCTTAACCTGGGCGCTCAGGCCGGGACTTCGGCCCACAGTGGCTAACACCCTCCAGTAGCTCACTGCCAGCACTAGCAGGGGTAGCAGGAAGCCCAAGCCTACTCTGAGCAAGTTGAATAGAGCAATAGGCTTCTCCATGGGGTAGGTCTCATAACAACGGTCATTATTGTTGTTCTCATCATGGGCGTCTGTGAGATTATCATAGACCAGCATTATGATGTGTATCACCACCACTACCACATAAACTACGATACACTGCATCCAGGCGTAGCAAGAAGTTCGGTGTGTCTTGAAGCGGAGTGGGTAGCTGACCACCAGACAGCGGTCTACAGAGATACAGCAAAGCAGGTAGATGCTGATATACATATTAGAGTAGTAGACAAAGCCAGCTACACTGCAGGACCCAGAACCTAGCATCCAGCGGTGGTTAAACCGGTAATAATTTATCCAAAGGGGCATAGTGATGATGAAAAGGAAGTCAGAGATAGACAGGTTGAGCAGGAAGATTCCCAGGACATTTTTTTGCCTCACTTGTTGAATGATGGGGCCCAGGGTCAGTACATTGAAGATCAAACCAAAAACAAAGGCCAGTATGTAAACAGACATCAGCAAGTCACTGACAACACTCTCTCCAATGTTAACGCATGTTGCGTTGTTGCCTGTTTCTGGTTTAAAAGTGGAGTTCATGGTTCCTTTAGTTAGCTGTAACTCCCCTGGTTAAAGAAAATCACCTGCAAGACAAAAATACATCATTAAATCCCTGAAATTAAAATAAATACAGTAACAATTTGTATGGTAACACGACTTCACCGTAATACTTTAAAAACATATAATATAGCTTAGATATTTTGTATCCCCTATTCTATTTCATGGTTGACTGAGCTCAAGAGATAAAAAAAATAATTTGGTTGTCCTGATGTTTCTCAATGTGAGATAGTTTGATTCTGCACACTATATGGTGTTCAGGCATAGTGTCGCTGGGAGTCCTCCGCTTCCTAGTATGGGTTTAGTCATGCTGCTTGATGATAACAGTTTGCACCCACGGTTTTAATAGAAAGTGAAATTGCCAAAAGTCCCTGCCTCAGCTGCACTGTATGGAGAACACATGTCATAAGGTAAGCTGTCGTTGTTGTGGAAACAGACAGCATTAAGGAACTGATACCTTTTAGATTAACTTGATGTAGAACCTTCTGCACTCGATCACCTGAGCACTCGATCAACATTACTTGTTGTTAATGCTACTTTTTATTAAATTATCTATAAATTGCTGCATTTATTCTCCTGCGTGGTCTAAGTTGCAGGCGAGGATCGCACAGAATGTACAGGCAAACTGATTATTTGCATTTTACAGTAATCACAGATTACAGGTTACTTTTTGTTTCTCAGCACAATAAGAGCCTTGCATTCTGGGGGACAAAAAAGTTGGCAGTCATATAGTGAGTTGGACCAGTTATTTCCAATTTAAATGTGACGTTACAAACAGATGCAGATGTGACGAAGGTAGTTGTTTACTGCAGCTTCAAGAATGAGTAATGTGAAACTCATGCACTCTATAAATGAATCAATTAATTCTCTCCCTGATTTGAACCATCACACCTGGTCCATCACAGAGCTCTGAGTGTAATTCACGCCAGATACATCTTAAAGATTAGCGTAACCCAGCAGAGACAAGAATTTCAAAATGAATTTAATAATAATCCAGTAATACTTTCTGTTTCAAAAAGATAAAAGACAAAGAGCAGGTCAAATAATCCGTTGTGAGACTGATTTTGTTATTTTGACATGAACCTTTCCTCTTTGAAGAAGTCTTCTTTTCCATGAGAGTAAAGCCAGCAGTGCAGTTTCAGAGAGGATACGAAACTATTCGACTGAACTTGGACATTTAAAAGGTGAGAGATTTGTGGTATAACGACAAAGTCAGTGGGAAAGGCATCTGAGAGAACCTCTGCGCTCTTTGTTGGGTATTCTTTGTAATACACTGATGAGTGAGGTTTTTTGGCCAAGCTAGCATAACTGCAATCTGTTGTAGCTTACTGTGACTTGTAACATGTGAGCTGCATTTTATTTCCCATAATATGCATTATCACATAATCTCTTTTATTTATTTGCTTTATGTTTTATCCTTATAGATTTGTAAGTTGTTATGTTTGTTGTTGTTATTGCTTGTCTCTATTCTGCTGTGTACAGTGTCCTTGAGTGTTTTGAAAGGCACTTTCCTAAATAAAATGTATTGTTGTTGTTGTTGTTGTTGTTGTTATTATAATGGTAATGCTGGCTCACTAACTAGCTTGGTAGAGAAGAAGTATAATTCAATGCAAAGGCCATGAACAGATTCCAGTTCTTACTGAAGGCCATGTAAGCTACCTCCTGGGGAAAAAAAATAAAAGGCTCTATGACTGAAAATATAATTGAAATGATGATGGATCACATTTGCATTTCCTGCTCTTTCAGTTTTTTATGTCCAGAAAAGATAACAAAATATACCTATTTTGCAGACTAAGACAAGTAAGGGGTGCAAACAATGCCTTTTGAACGGCAGAAGGACTTTTTTGAAATACAGATTTTCTAGATTTAAAAAAAAAAAAAATTTTTTGGATCACACATGTAGATGATCACATGACACTAATTGTCTTTCTTCATGTCAATATGTGATGTATGAAGTTGTCAACTTTGTTTGAAAAATTAGGTAGTGTCCATAAAAGTGCATAACTTAGCAAAACATTATTATTAACATTTAATAAAGTTAATTCTTTATGACGTTTATATATCCCATACATATTATCGTGCAGGCATAACGATCAGTTACATTACAGGCGTGTCGCATGAATTTTGTGCAGCACGTTGCAGGCTTAACAGAAAATGACTTACATCATAGGGCTTGCAACACATTAATGTGTATAAATGATAAATATTTTTATATGTTTTACTCAATTATACATCTCATCAAAGTACTAATAAATAGAGTTCACTAAACTTTCACTTTTTAAAGTCCAGTTGTTTTCAATGAAATCCTACACATTTCTACACATATGGGACATGACCATCTCTTAACATAACAGACCTAATTGTTTTCTAGTAATGCACAGCTTTAGGCTTTTTGTCCCCCTGTTTTAATCTACTCTGTTTAATGTAAAAGTTAAAGAGTGACATGCTTAACTGTTACAGAAGGAGGCTATTCGCGCGTTCTTGTTAATGTTTTAAATTCTGACACATTGATAAATAATATGAAACCTAAAAATGGTTTGGAATATATAGTCATAATTGACGACTAATGCATTAAAAATACAAAAGATGCTGCACAGTTAAAACAGTTTAGTGGTTTATTCGGGGTAAATTTGGATTTCCTACAGCATGGCCATGTTTTGACTACAGATGCTAACAGTGCGGTTAAACAGACATGTTAAGATGCTGACTGAGGAGGATATTTCTGGGCAGACCGAGCATGAGTTCAGCTTGGTTCAAAAATAATTCAATGAAACTATGACAGGCTAACTAAGGCCAGAACCTGATTGTACAAAAGAACTCACACATGAATACTACATAATTAGGAATGTTGTTTCAGAGGAACTGTTACAAAGTTCAACTGCTTGTGTTATGGTTTTCCTTTCAGACTGTTTATAGGCTTTCTATTGGTCTGTGAAACTGTGTCATCAGCTTTGAACATTTTTTAAAATTTTAGTTTATCACAACAGAATTTTTTGAAAATGTCCTCTGGTTTCAGTTAATAACCGAAGTATTTATTCATATTTACACCATCAGTACAATCTTATACACCCATTCATTGTGACGATTAAGGGGTTAATGTTTAGTTTGTGTTCCACTGGAAAAAAAATCCACATTAATTATTTTACCAGGTAATGGGAACCAATGGTTAACACACTCTTCTTAATGTAGACCACAAGACTAAAATATTTTTGTACAGATATTTTATTCTTTCCATTTGCTGTATAAAATGTAAGCATTAGGAGATCAAACTTTGCTCGTTATTTCTGTGGCTTTTGCTGATATTTGTTTCCTCTCTTTGTTTTGTTCCCTCTCTCTCTTCCAGGCTTGACCCTGGTGTGTTTATAGGCTCAGGAAGCATCTAATGCTATTAACGTCCAGAAAACTCAATAATAGAGAAGCCATTTGGAGACAGATCGTCTTCAGAGAACGATAATGTGTGTCTGCACATGTGCCTGTGTGCAGGTGTGTTTGAAATGGGTTTGATTTAATGGATTATTCATAAAATTTAAAAAAAAAAATGGGAGACTTATCATGACTGCATTATAGGAAAGTTTTCCTCATAAATGAAAACTTTTCTAAAATATTTCAGTTGTTAGTCACCACTTAGGATACTATGACTAATGACAAACAGGTATTCCCCTATTACAAAGATAGAGTTTACCTCTAATGCCTGTAATGGTTCATTTGTCCTGTTCAGGTCCTTCTTAAAAACAATATTTTTTTCTTTTTTCCTCTTGCATACATCTTTTTGTTCTTTTGCTGTCTCTATCAGTACATTTCAAATCCAGACAAACGACTACTTTGCACAGCTGGCCAGGGCTTGATTCGCTCATTTTTTCCATCTGAGCCAACTATGTGTTTGTTAGCATTATGTGCTGAAGTAAATCTGGTTGTCATTATGAATTGTTAAGAGAGCAGCATTTTAGCCTTATCTCTAAAGAGGGGGGATGTGGTGATTGCCAGATGCCCCCCTTTTAAAACAAAAAGAAGAAATATGCGTTTTAACTTGCCTCCCTCATACCAAAGTGGTGTTTCAAAGGTAAAGCAGTCCACAGTTTCTTCTTCCAGAGCAGTTTTCTGTTGCCCTCTCCAGCGTGCTGTGGTGACCACCGCTGGGAGAATCACAGAAAACATTCAACCCTCCAGAGAATCAACATTTCAAACCTAATTATTTTTGCAGTGGTTACTCACATCCCTTGACAACAGTCCACTGGGGACAAAAAGAAACCCAGCATATGAAGTGCGGTTTCAAAATAAATGAATACCTTTACTACATTTAAGAACTTGGCAAATATAATAAAAGTTACCTTTGAACTTGTCCTTTTCTAGGGCAGTTTATAAAAAGTTTTACATAAATTCCCTCATCTGGTTTCCAGAACTCCAATCAGTAATGAATGACCTCACCTGTTGTTTGTTGATAGAAAGTTGTATCTTGTAGAAAGCTGTCCAGTGGGTGAAGAGTGTTAGACGCATTCCAGACCTGCTTCAGGTTCAGCAGAGTTCAGTCCAGGAAGATCAGAAAAAAGCTTCAGAAGAGACTTTTCAGAGCTGCTGACATGCAGCCAAGCCACTGCAGTTCCTCATAATCTCAAATGAACCAGATCATTAACAGCCAGTTCAATAGCTACAGATGCAAGAGGTTGTTTTTCTCTGTACTGTGTAGTTTGCTCTCGTTGCTAGTTCCCGTTGACAGCCACAGCTGAAATGTCAGTAAGAAGTGTGGAAGGGCGAAGTACAGAAAGGGGAAGACACACGTAGGAGGAGGGAGGTTTGCTTCTGCACACGTGCGTGCAGGAAGTGTTCAGGGCTGGGCAAAAATTAAACGGTTATAGAAAAGAAATGAATCATGCGTTAATGCTCTTATGAGACCAGAAAAAAGTCCCCTCCCCCTCCTCTCCGATTTAAGGGAAATTTGTAACTTATGGGTCGGGAGCTGCATAGCTCCTGTCTTCCCCTTTTACATCACAGTGAGTGTTTAAATAGCATCATTGTAGTTGTAGTTCTTAATGAGTGGGTCATTCACTCCTTTTTTTGGTCTAAATGTCTTTTTCAGTTTGGCTGATCACTTTCAGTCTGGTTCAGTACGAGAAAACCAAAATGTGTCAATCACGTCACTGTAAAACACGAAGAAGATAAAGAACGTTGCTCTGTTTCAGATGATGTGAACACTGGGTATCAGCACCGTGTAGGTCTCAGTCGAGGCTGTTCACATGTTTATAAATGGAGTCTGTGACGAAACCTTGAGGTTGCTCTGGTTATGCGTTGAGTGACCATCAGTGTACAGATGTGAATGTTGACGGCAAGAACACATTCCTTACATGACGTTAAGAAAAAGAAAAGGAAAGTAGACGATTATTGAAACGGAAACGATAAATGTATGGAAATAAAATACTCAAAAGGGGAATTTCCAGATACTCTGATTTTCCACCACCTGAAGCATTGTTTCTTCTTTCCTCTGTAATGCTTTGATGTCACACACATGTTCAATAAGTTCAGCTTTTTGTCACTGCATTTCAGCAGAATATGAGTAAGAATGAGTAATTTTCTTTTTATTGGTATTCTTTCTTTTAATTTTTTTCTTCTCTAATAAACAAATGATTAAATAACATTACATGAATGTGTACATTTTCCTGTTGAATTCAGGCTTTTATTGTCTGTTATTTCTAACAGATCCAGCTTTTTGTCTGTAATGTAGTCTTACAGAGCTTACATCACTTAGCAACCACATTAATTGTGTCTAAATACTTTTTAAGGCCATGTTGGTGATGTATTATTTTACCTACCTATGCTACTAACCTATTTTTTCTTAAACTCAAATACAGAACAAGTTTTTCTGTCACTTCTGCTGTGGCTTTTACACTTTTTTAACGACTACCACAAGGTGCCAATAATGTGATGCCAAAAAGTTTAAGTGCTGAGAATATTTTTTAAAAGTTGTGCGTGTGGATATTAAATTTGTCAACTTCCCTTTTTCATTCCTTAGTATGACACTGATATATGGAAAATTCTTTGCTATTTTGGCAAAAGAGAACAAGACAAGGCAGTGGGCATATGTTTGGTGCATTTCAGTTTCTTGTAACTGTTTCCTCGCATGATAGTGTGCTTCACCTCCATCACCTTAAAATAAATCATTTTGCTGGTTTACCTGCCTGTTTTTTGGTAACAAGCATCCAACTTGCGGTCACATGAAGCAGAGTCAGAGGGCATTAATGAGACAGAGCAGCAGGCATACAGTGAATTTTGCCATCATAAATTTTCCATGAAAACTATTTAAAAGATTATTTATGGAAATGTCATTTTAGAAAAACAGTCTTGTATGTAATATAAATACAGATATTGACATTTTATGATAATGGTAGGATTGCAGGTATTTCACACCTCCCAGTGGTTTTTAAGCTTAGGGTTTAGCTTTTGTTGCATCACACAGTGGTGTGATATAGAAAGAGATTTAGTACCTTTTTGGTCATGCATCTACATGACAACCGGAAATGCGCTGCAATTTTCTGTAATTTTGCAAATTGCTCTACACAGTTGATCTATTGCCTTTCAAAATGCATTACGCCTAAGTGCAGGGGCAAACTCAGCAGCTGGTATAGCCGTTTAATGTACTTGATGGCCAAGCTGGAGGTCATCGGTTGTGCAGTCATACCAAGTGGAGGAAAGTGCAATCAGAATTTGTGATCATGTTACACAATCACAAACAAAACATTTCCAGAGCTAATGATGGTTTGTGGGCTTTGTGCTCAGTGTTTACACAGATCGTTATCTCGAGAAGCATGAAATAACAAGAAAGTGGAAATGACTGAAAACTCTGGAGTTCAGTTCTTATTTTGATTGGGTAGCATTATCTCGAAATTCCGCATGCGTGCACTACTTTCTTTTGTATTTAATGAAAAGCTGATGTGTTTTCCAGATGAGGTGCAGCTATAAACTGAGAGTGCAAATTACAATTGTTCTAGGAGTAGTTGCAGTTCAAATAAGATGACACTCTCTGAGTTATGAACACTCCTGGTAACCTTTTGAGCACACGGCCAATTGCCTTTTGTGGAAAAACAGCACTTTCTCCCACAGACTTCATTAATACAGATAACTTCTGAACAAGCCTGAGAGAAAATGGAATTGCACTCACTGGCTAAAATCAATTGGCATGCATGTGCATGCACCCCAAGCAGAGCTGCAGAACAAAACAGACTCCACTAAAGCTGACGAGAAATGAGCACTGGGAGGTCTCAGAGGTTTAGATGACAAAACGTGCTATGGAAATAAGTCATCAGTAGCTCTTTCCGTATGAAGCGACACTAATATAATACAAGTTCAAAGATCACATTACACTTCTGAGTACTTTATTAAAGTATCAAGTTGCGATTATTGTTAATATATTTCTTAGTTTAAAAAAAACAAAATCAAAAAGAACTATGTGGTGAGGCGTGGTCGGCGGTGCCAGGCGGAAGCACCGGCACGGCATCCGCAATCACGCCCACCGTGTTTAAAAACACGGGGAAGCAGGGGTAGAGAAGAGTTGTGGTGTGATGAGTGTGTATTTAAAGATGGCTTCTTTATTACGCCACTCTCTGGACCCTCCGCGTCTCTATCGCACCACAAACTAATTCTCAAGAAAACTGTCTGTGGTAAAGACAAAAGAGCACACTAATGAGAACAAGATTACACGTTAATTCACAACCAAAACATGGACAGACAATTTTGTGTTATATTAATCTACAGCAGAAAAAAAAATCCCTCCTGAATGCGCTGTTTACAACAGTCACATACCCTCATTGAGCTTATTAGGTACATTTTCTAGCACTGCACTGGCCCCCTTTTTGCCTTCAAAGCCCCCATAAAAGATTTAACACGGTGCTAGAATTTTTCCTCCGAAATTCCGAGCCATACAGACACGATAGCATCAAACAATGATGTGAATCTCCTGTTCCACCGCATTCCAAAGATGCTCTGCTGGATGCAAATCTGGTGATTGTAGAGGCCATTTGAGTACAGAGAACCCATCATGAGAACCCAGTTTGAGATTATTTGAGTTTTATGACAGTATGTTATCCTGCTGGAGGCAGCCATCAGTTGGTGGGAAATATACATTCCTAAATGATACACTGTGGTCATATATGAATCAGCATGGTGGACAATAGCACTCAGGTAGTTTAAAAAAATGTGAATTTGGTACTGAGGGATCTAAAGTGAGCAAAGAAAATATCCTCACCACCACCAGCAATCTGACCAATTGATAAAAGGAGGGATGGATCCATGCTTTCATGCCATTTATACCCAATTCTGACCCTACCATTTGAATGTTGCTGCAGAAAGTCTCATAAGCAGGCACATTTTCCAATCTTATATTATTCAGTTTTGGTAAGAAGTGTGAATTGTAGCATCAGTTTACTGTTCTTAGCTAATAGGAGTGGTACTCTGTGTGGTCTTCTGTTTTAAGTTTCATAAGGTGCATTTAAGGTGCATGTCAGATTCTGTTCGGCATACCTTTTCTACAATGAGCAGTCATATGAGTTACTGTATTGACAATGCTCCTGTGACGTCAACAAGCTATTTTCACGCAGAGAACTGACACTCACTGAATATGTTCTCGCTTTCAGACCATCCTCTGTAACAACTAGAGATAATTGTGTGTAAAATACTCAGGCTAGATACCAGCAATTATGTCACATTCTTTCCCATTTTTATGTTCCTTTTGACAGGTTGTCCTATGGGCCAAAATGCACTGGATTGCTGCCATCTGATTATTAACTCTGTTAAATAATAAGCCAATCAATTATTCCTGTGTGTGAAAGAACACTTTCATTTAAGAAGCACAAGGTCATTATTAATCTGGATGCCCGACTGCTTTTTTGCTTTCAGTGGAAACGTTGAGTGAAAACAGAAATATTTTTAAGCTGTCTTCCACCTACTCTAACAAACTAGACTGATATTGTTCATCGCAGATAAAACTCAATAGAAATGTAATTTCTGGTGCCAGGTACGTCTCTCTGGAGGTTTGGGCCTGTCTCTTTTGCTTACTAAGTGGAGGGCTCTACATGACAGTGCAAAAACAATGGGCTGGAAGATTGAAGCTGATGAGATAGAATGAAAGTTACTGACACTTGAAAGAAATAAAAGGAGGGGAGGAAAAAGGAAAAGAGTCTATCATCTGGCATTGTTTGAGAATGACGACGGGTGTAGGGTAGGAGCAACAAGGGTGCACTTCTACCAGTATAACTGACTGAAGAGTACTCATTTCACAATGGAAAAAAATTCAGCGTCTTTGCCTCCATTGCCACAGGGTCCTCTTGAGTGCCACTCAGACTGTGGGGTGTTAAAAAACACAAAAAAAAACACAAAAAAAAACAAACACTGTCTGTGCTTTGAGAGCTGGGAGTACTTTTTTGTGTGTCTCTGGTTCCAATTCCATCATAATTCTTTAGTCCATGTTGCCTACGTCTGTACCAAAGTACCCAGCAGCATATTTGGAGGGGAAAAAATCTCCTCTTCTTTTGAGAGTAAAAGAAATAACAGCCTGTCAGCCTGTGAGTAGAAAACTAGTGGTGCAGAACAAGTCGTCCTTATTCTTTTGTTATGCTTTAAATGAAGCACGTCTTTTTCCATAGACAATCTAAGGCACAGTAATGGCCCTTGTTTTATAAATATATTTATAGGGAAAAAGCAAATAATCTGTATATGGCTGACAAATATTTTAGGACTAAATCCGTATCTGCTCAGGCCTGTGTGCAATTTCTCAGGAAGCAGGTGAAAATGAGCAGGTTCCAGTTAAGCATGCACGGACGTCACGTTAAAT